AAGACTAAAATTAGTTTTTCCCATCAAGAACCAATTTTCACCGCTTGTGAGTAATACTGCCCCCACTGAGAATGCATACCTTACACCAAGAGCTTCACTTTATAGTGAAGTTGGTAAAACAACAGGGAAATGCCCACGGGCTCCACTTTGTCTGCTACATGCCACGTCACCTAGAAGCTGCTGTCCTGATAGAATGTTGGAATGGCCTTGTAAAGGTGTGGCAGCTTGAGAATACATTGCAGGGATTGGGGTGCTGGTCTTAATGATGAGGTCTTATATGGTGCTTATATAGCCATAATATGGTACTAGATGTTGACTCCAATAGATAGAAAACACAGGTCTGGGAGCAAAGGGATGAGAGTGGCCTCTGCCACCAGAGATTACACTGACCCACTTGGGAAACTGGTGCTTCCCATCTCTTCAACTTTAGGCTCTGCAGCACTAGAGCATCTCGCTCTATGTGGTTGCCAGGAGATGCATCAACCATGGGGCATAGAAAGGGTTCCACTGGGGCGCCTGGGTGGCTCAGTCAGTTAAGCATCTACCTTCAGCCCAGGTCATGATCCTGGGGTCCTGGGATTGAGCCCATGTCAGGCTCCTTGCTCAGTGGGGAGTCTGCTTTTCCCTCTCCCTCTGACCCTCCCCCCACTCATGCTCTCTCTCTCTCTCTCTCTCGTAAATAAATAATCTTGGGGCGCCTGGGTGGCTCAGTTGGTTAAGCAACTGCCTTCGGCTCAGGTCACGATACTGGAGTCCCGGGATCGAGTCCCACATCAGGCTCCCTGCTCAGCAGGGAGTCTGCTTCTCCCTCTGACCCTCCCCCCTCTCATGCTCTCTCTTCCTCATTCTCTCTCTCAAGTAAATAAATAAAATCTTTAAATAAATAAATAAATAAATCTTGAAAGAAAGAAAGAGAAAGAAAAGGAGGGAAAGAAGGAAGGAAGGAAGAAAAAGAAAGGAAAGAAAGAAAGTTCGTTCTACTAAAACTGTGGCTGATGCCTAGTCATGCCAGTAGATGAGCAAGAAAAGAAAGGAGTAACTGTCCCAGCAGGAGTAGATGATTATCATGAGGAAAGTGGGACAGGGAGGAATATATCCGGAACACAGGAGTTTCACTGGGATGCCTCTGGGGGTTGCCATGCCTGGTGAAAAATTATCAGTTGGCAATTTCAGCAAACAGGGTCTGACAAGAGCCTGATAACCAGGGGCTGAGACCCCTTAGGGATGAGGGTTTGGGTCACCCCACCAGTCATGCAACCTAGACAAGCAGTAGATTTGCCAAGGGGGAAGGGAATCTAGAATGTGTGGTATTAATTTGCTAGGGCTGCCATATCAAAATACCACAAACTGGATGGCATAAACAATAGAAATTCATTTTCTTGCAGTTCTGGAAGCTGGCAGTCCAAGATTAAGGTGCTGGTTGGTTTCCTCTGAGGCCTCTCTCCGGGCTTGCAGATGGCTATCTTCTGGTTGTTTTTCAAAGGTCGTTCCTTTGTGCACACTCACCCCTGGTGTCTCTTTCTCTTCTTAGAAGGATGCCAATCAGAATGGATTAGTGCCCCACCCCAGGGACCTCATTTCAACTTAATCACCTCTTTCAAGGCCCTATCTCCAAACACAGTCACATTCTGAGGTGTGGAGGATTGGGACTTCAACATATAAATTTGGAGGGGGCTGTGAGCAGAATATGATTCACTCCGTAACAGGCTGGTGGAGGAAGGAGATGATGAATAGCAGTTATAGACTCAGGACCATCTATAGCAAGGGACTATAGCTTGTCCTACTAAACCTCCTGGTGTGCGTATGCGTTTGCGCGCGCGCGTGTGTGTGTGTGTGTGTGTGTGTGCGTGTTGGAAACCAGAACTTGAAGAAGTGATGGCAGGCAGGATGGAGTAAAATTCATGCGGGCACAGATGGATCTGAGCCACGCAGCGGTCAGCCACTGTCAGGGCACCATCCATATTCCTTCTGCACTTACCGTTCCCTTACAGGGCAGCCCAAATTCCGACTGCCAGGAACTGCCCCTCCCAAGGACTCTCTCGGCAATCTGGATCCCACTCTGCTTGGCACTTCTGCATTTCAGGCAGGTCAGAGATGCCAGGGAATTCATCTTTCCTGGGGGTGGCCCTCAACCAGTGAGTGCAGGGAGCTGGGGAAGGAATATCACCGCTCCTCTCCACTGGTGAGTCGGCTTGAGGTGTGTGTCCCACACGGTTCCCCAGGAGTCCCCAGACTGAAGCTCCAGTGTCCGCAGTGCTGACTGGCTCAATAATGCAGGCCTTTTTGTTTTCCTTCCCTTCCCTCCTACCTTCCATCTCCTTTACCTTCCCACTCCGATACAGGTGCTTTCTGGGATCACCCCCCAGAAAAAAAGACCTGCACTCAAATTCTTTACCTCAGGGTCGGCTTCCGGTGGAATTCAAATTAAGATACCCACGGTCTTCAGGGTAGCTCATATTTACTAAACTTAACGTGTATGCTTATTTGACTGGCTTTGCTCCCTTTACACTCCTGGTTTCTCTCTCAGACTGGTTGCTTCTCCAGGTGCGCTCTCTCCTAGCCACTAATTCTTTCATACTTACTACAGTGTGTCAGGTGCTGGGGACACAGCAAGAAAAACTGACGGAGAGGGACCTGCTGTCATGAAGGTTACTGTCCAGAAGGGAAGCCAGACTTTAAACAATTAATTTCAAGAGCGAATCATGTCCTATCAAGGACAATCTGGGAGAGAAAAAGGACACAGCAGTGGGATCCAATCTTGTCTGGAGGCGGGGACGGTGCCTCCCCAAGGAAGTGACTTTGCTGGAAGGATCACAAAAATGCAAAATAAATCGCAAATCACCAGGAACCTTTATTTTACTTCATATCAAACTGAAAAAGCCATAAAATTAAAATATTTTCAATTCATAAAACTTTTACATCAATGACATTGACCAATAGAAAAGTGAAATCCCTGAGGAATTGCCAACAATAAATAAAATACTTAAAAACAGAATGTTCTGAGTTCGAAGGAAAATTTCCTGAGCCTGCTCAATCTGGGGAAGTCAATGGCCCTTTGCAAACTTCAGTTTGTCAAAAGGATATCCAATTGATGCAAGTTTCCTGTCATGAGAAGAAGCTGCCACTTTCAGTAACACCTTACATTAAATGGGGGGAAATAATCTTGTTTCAATCAATTTATGCATAGTTCTGAGAAATCTATTACACGGGCAGGAGAAGAAAATATGTGCTCTTTGTGCCAACAGACTTTTACAACATACCAAATAAGTACCAGTGCTAGTTTTAATTTGTTATTAACTGCAATGTGTTGTTTTCTTGTGGAGTGTGGATATTATACAACAAAAGGGATGTAGTCTCCCTACTGTTTGTGGGTAAGAAAAAGAAAGACTCAAATACCTGTGAAAGGGTAAGATTAACACTTTTAAAAATTCCAGAATCTAGCAAGGGAAAGATTCTCTGTGAAGAAGACCCAGGATGGAGGACTGGCTTTGGAGCTCTAGAATTTCTTTTAGGAATGGAGTCAAAATATCTTGTTACATGGATTTTAGGATGTACTTTTTTTCCCCCACGCTTTCACAAATCAAATTCAAATGGACTTGGCCATTAACTGTCACAAGTTAACGGTCAAGTCCCCCACCTAACTTTCTCAGTGGTATATAAAATAATGGCATGCTTTACAAACACCTTCTTAGACTAAATTAAATATGGTGCTCTGTACTTCAGCACACACAGTGAGTCATATAAAAATAAATCTGACATTTAAACCCTGGTAATTTTCCCAACTGAAAGGACACTGGCAAAAACATTTGGTGACTGAAATTTCAACACGAGCACCATAGCCTCAGGAAGGATTAGGACGAATGGTGATGTGGGATGAGCTTACACTCTGGTTTTGGTTCTGTCCCTAATCAGTAAGGAAATGGATTTCACACTTCTGGGCCTCATTTCCTCATCTGTAAAATATAAGAAAGTATGATCAGATGCCCTCTCAGTCCTCCAGCCAAAAAGGAAGGGGATTTATAATTCTGCACCACTGAGGGCGCGTCCTGCTGTGGAACATTCCACAGCCACGCTGCCCCCAAAGCCAAAGACGCGCCTACAGGCTGATGGCGTGGACCCCTCTGCAGCCACCTCTCCCCCCACAAGAAGAGTCAAGGCTCCAAATCCAGAGATTTTCCGGAATCAAGGAGATAACACAATTCATTCACAATGTTGGTAACTGAGAGGAAAAGGGTAATTCTTCAGTCTGGGGCAATGTGTAAGCTTCTTTTAAAAATTTCAGAACTTCCCTAACCTCAGTTGATCTAAATGTCTACCATCAATATAAAATACCAGAACATGACAGCAAGGTCTCACTTCAAAGTTTCATGACTGACATAGCTTGGCTAGAGATGCTCCTGCTCTGAGTGCTTCCTCCCATGCCATCGAAGCACCAGCCGGGAAGGGAGTTGTGTTCTGAAAGAAAATAACAAAGAAATTTCATTAGAATGAACCACTGACCTCAGCTCCTCACTCCTACCTTGATACATTATCTACAAAGAATAAGTATGCTTGGCCAAAGAAAGCAAATGGTGAGGAATAAGTATTAAAAGTGATGAAAAATGGGGGTGCCTGGGTGGCTCAGTCGGTTAGGCATCCGACTCTTTTTTTTTTTTTTTAAGATTTTATTTAAAAGACAGACAGACACACAGCAAGAGAGGGAAAACAAGCAGGGGGAGTGGGAGAGGGAGAAGCAGGCTCCCCGCTGAGCATGGAGCCCAATGCAGGGCTCAATCCCAGGACCCTGGGATCATGACCCGAGCCAAAGGCAGACGCTTAACTAACTGAGCCACCTAGGCGCCCCCAAGCATCTGACTCTTGATTTTGGCTCAGGTCATAATCTCAGGGTCCTGGGATCGAGCCTGGTATTGGGCTCCCCACTCAGCAGGCAGTCTGCTGGAGATGCTCTCTCTCTCCCACTGCTCCTTTCCCCACCAACCCCCCCCCAGAGCTCACATGCACACACACACACACACACAC